AGTTGCTTTTTGTTCTAGATGCTTTGTTTGAAATGTTTGCATTTAGTCTGACACAGGTTCTTAACTGTTGAAAGTATAATCATACTCGCTTTTTTAGGCATTTCCAGAAGATGATTTTTCTGTGCATTTATTTACTTATTTAGCGTATGGCCTGCAATGTCAGGGAAATCTGGAATTGCTAGACACAATGCAGTCCTGACAGCCTAAATTGCTTGTTTGCTCTGTTTGGCTTTGTATGCCTATCTTTGGTGCACCTAAGGGGCCAAACTAGCTTACACCAGCTGACTAACAATGCTTGGTTTGCTGGCTCTTTTGGGCTTCTCTATTGGTCTACTATGCCTCCCCTCATGTTGTGTTGCCCTACATATGGCCATATTCACTACTGGCTTCCACACTTCACAAACAAAAATGCAGTTAATTTTTTCCCATGCAAGTGATACCCATTGATCTACTCATAATATTGCATGCTTTTGAACCACTTGGTGGGCAGGAGCTGGGGGGTGAGTGGTGGAAGCTCACCACATCTCACAGAGCCAGGCTTGAACCACCAGAGTCAAGACCATTTCTACCAACAATTCCAGTTATTAACCATTGTACCACCAGGTGTCCTGCAATTGTGCTTCCATGAAATCCATGTGTGTAAAAGGAAGAACCAGAAATTATATAGGACATCCTTTCCAAAAAAAAAAGATTCAGCATGCTGATATGTTCCCTTTTCATCAGTCATTGGATTCCCACCTGTTCGTAGACCGATTGGGAGTCACTTGCATTTCAACACTTACATATTCACAGCAAAACATGCTTAATTTGAGAGCAAATGAATGGAGAAGAATAAGAACAGTTTACATGCTTCCCAGAACACAGTTCTAGGAGAAAGAAGGAATGCAGTCAAGGCTACTTTCATTTTAAAAAAGGACCAATGCAAGATATTATTTTGAGCTTACTTTTGTGAAAGACATGTACTCCTATTTAATGAAAGAATCATATATTTCAAAATGGACATTTAAGCTACCAAATCCAGTGCCCACTTAGTGCAGAATTTCAAATTCCAGCAGCTCCTGCAAATGTTCCTTCCTCTACTTCAATGTGCCCAGTAAAAGAAAGGGCATTTCTCTTTGGTCATCGATTCTCACTGCCTAACATTTTCTATATAAGTATGATTTTTTTTAGGAAGAATGTAGTTTCCTAAAATTATTTTCTAAATCAATTTTAGATTTTTATTCTCTAAAAGTGGGGGTGCAATGGCTCAGCAGTTAAAGGCTCAGCAGTTGTCAATTGGAAAGCTGGTAACCCAGGTTTGAGACTCAAATTAAATTGAATTGTTAAACTGTTCAGTGGTAAGTTGTCCTGCTATAAGTTGGCCATAGCAAGTTGTCCCACAGTGAGTTGGTCATGGTGAGTTGTCTATGGCAAGTTGGCCATGTTAAGTTGGCCAGGGCGAGTTGGCCACAGCAAGTTGGCTGCAGCGAATTGTCCCATTCCCCAGGAGTAGGCATATCAGACATTGTAGCAAACATCTATATGCAAGTCATGATTGAAGGTATATGACTCCTTCAAATGAAGTGATCCTGAACTCTGTCTGGGTCATCATAACTTGATATGCCTTAGGAACAAAATAAACGACCCAGGAGATTACAGCACAAGATCCAGGATATCTCCACAACAAAACTCACAAGTCCATCACACAGCCCATTATACCAACATCAACTCCATCAACCAATCAAAAGGCAGCAGCGCAGCCAACCAGCCCAGCACACCAGCCCCCACCAGCAGTATTTATAGAGAGACAGCAGCTCGAATCACACACTGCTTGCACTGGCACGAAGCTGAAAGCACCAGCCTGAGGATGGCGAGTGGGACCTCACCGAAATGTCACCAAGATATTCTTAATCTTACATGGGAAAAGACTCAAACACACCTAAACCTACATACATACATACATACATACATACATACATACATATATATATATATGTGTGTGTGTGTGTGTGTGTGTGTGTGTGTGTGTGTGTGTGTGTGTGT